CTCAAAATCCAGTCAAGTCGACAGTCCAGATGAACATCACACAGGGTCCCCACGGAGCTCAGACTGGCCTGAAACTCACTGCATTGTCCAGGCTGGCCTCGAACTCTTGGCAGTCCACCTGCCTCCGCCTCCTGAGTACTGGGGTGTGCCCCCACGTACTCTCCACGATGTTTCCTACTTTCTGCAGTGAGTTTTAGTCTTTCGTTGCTTTGGCCACTGGCTCTTTTCCTCTGATTTCTGGTGCAGTATGGACTGTTACGCCACATTATATTGCAGGTGTAAATCCACCCCCTAAGGTTCTCTTGTGGCTTATTTGTTAGACTTCACACATAACTGCTTTCTCTAAATCCTCTATCTTTTCCTTATCATGTAGTGCATTCTTGTTTGTTCCAGTGTCTTTGCTTTTTGATATAAATGCGATTTTTATCTAGATACGGTGCTTGTAGATGGTATAGGTGAACTGTCGTTGCCTCCCCCAACCCTGCCCCCAACTGCTTTTATCTGAGAGCTACAGTTAGGATGTTCCCTAGCCGATGCCCTGACCCTGATGAGAGACTGTTGTGTTTCTGCTTCCTGGCTTTAGCCCCTGCACCTGCTTCCATTTCCTTCTCTAGTCCTTTGATCCTCTGAAACAATGCATATGCAAAGCTCCGCTTTCTTAAACACAGCCTCACACTTAAAAGACTTAAAAGATATTTCTGCTAGTGGCCTACAGGGAGGATGGCATTCCAGGCTGCAATATAAACATACCTAGAAAATTGTGAATTTTTGTGTGTGCGCATATTTTATATGTCTCTTAGGTAAGATGTGCAATCGTGTTGTTACATAGGCTTTTCCCTCAGGCCTTCTCAGTTCTTCAGGATTTTCCTGTGGGTCTGGCAATTCAATATGGCCAACTGCTCACTAAGCATCCCGCTTGGCTCCTCTGCTGTCCTACAGTCTCAACACATTGAAAGGAGAATAGTGTATCTTCCTCACAAAACCCGTTATCTTTCCCTTGTCTCAATTACCGTTCCAGTCTCTCAGGCTTTAAACCTGCACTCCTTGGCCCTTCAGTGCTCTTCCTGTGGATCCCTGTGTCTGGGAAGCCTGCATCCAGCTTCCTGTGACTTACCTCTCTCTGGGCTGCTGCTCTTACTCTCATGCAGGCTGTGCTGTTGAGCCAGGATTGTCCAGCAGCCTCCTTTGATCGTATTGCAGATGGCTGCCAGATTTGTGCTTGGTCTAAAGTGCTTCTTGCTCCCACTCACTCTCCACTCCTCATCACCTATGGGGGACAGAGTCTAAATTGTTCAGCGTAACTCTATGCCTTTCTCACATTCCATTGTACAAACTGTTTTCAACTATGCAGGTCTGCTCAGTCTGTCTCTGTAGGAGTCTGAAACCTCCGCTGTTTTAATAGGACTTCTTTATCCCTCCTTTGGACCGAACAGCCTCTAAGGGGAGAACAACAGCATCAAAGACTGTTATGTCTCGTTTCATAGCTCCAGACAGGATGTCATGGCTCTTGGTGCCTGGTCTCTGCGGGGTGCTCTGGCCAGGGCTCTCTCCATCGGCAACACACCTGTTTACCACACTCCTCCCGATTTTGCTGCCTCTTGGTGTGACTGGCTTGTTTAGTTTGTGCCTGCTGTTTTCACACTTAGAATGTGTGCTTCTCGAAGGTGCTTAATATCTGTGTACACATTCAAATACTTAATAATAAACTATTTGAACTTGCAGACCCATGTGTCTGTTGAAGACAGAAGAGATACTGTATTAATTCAATAATCAGTTTATGTGGGGGAAAAAAACCCCAATATTTTAGCTAATTTCCAGGTACGAAGGGTTAGTACGTTAACAGGATTTCTGTTTAGCCATTGTTACATTTGTCTTAGTCAAATATGAAATGCTAATGATTATTTAATGTTTTCTTTCTGATGACTTAATTCATATTTGTGAGACTTACTCATCTTGGTAATCGTTGACCTCAAAAAACTGCCTGAGACATGTTGAACTGGGTTCTGATTAAATGTGTCCTTGTTACGATCTGTTACTGTGCCATCCATACTTCGGAATATCATTCTTAATCTGTGTGTTTTAACTTCGAGAGTTTTGTTTGTTTGTTTGTTTGTTTGTTTCCCATTACCCCTTAAAAACAGTAAGTGCAGATGCCATAGTGTCTTGATAGGCTATGACCTAACTTTTAAATGAAAAAGTGCTATGTTATGTTTAAAGATTTGTTGATGTGTGGGCATGGCTTACATTACTATATATATAATGTAAACACATTAACAACTGAAATGCCATCCTTTGTTTCATCCTTAATGAAATAATTTAAAAATTAAGTCTATTTTGTAACAGACACATTAAAAAACAATGACGTTTCCATGCATGCATACTTTGTGTCAAATATATCTGTCTCAAACATTTATTATATGTATAATTAATTTCCCCCAGCTTCTAGGAATACATGGTTTATAGCCATTATCAAGTAACCCCATAGTGTGGTAGCTATGTTGTTGCTGTAAAGTCTGTTTTTATTATTTTTAATTGTCTTTTGTCATCTGAGACTGGATTAGTTACATGAGAGGCTCACATGAGAAAGTGTGAGAAGGTGGTCTGTGGCCAGGCACTAGTTAAGGTTACCCGTGCATATGCAAACAAGGTCCAGGGTCTGAGGACTTGAGCAGTAGTGAGGGAGGCCTTGGATCCAGCCAGCTGCAGGCAAACAAGGGCAGATTCCCATTCCATCAGGTCAGATGCAGGGTATTAGCCCCCTCCAGGCAGGCGCCATGGCTGTCACGCTTGCAGTAGTGAGTGACTCAAGGAAACCATGAAGAACAGTGACAGAGATGGCTCTGGCCACTTAAATTGCTTTGGCAAGCTCTGCTCTTGTTTTACATTAATAACTGCAGCATTCAAGCGAGAGTGGTCTCTAGAGGGCTTTCTGCAGCAATTGCCAAAGGTTTCAGCCCTTATGGACACAGCTGTTCATTACAGTCCCCCTCCGCCATCCCAGGGGAGCTGGCCGCACAGCTCCAACCAACATGCCTGTCTTTCAGACATTGCCCGTCTTCTTTAAAAGGGTTGTTGTTTTTATTTTATTTGAGTGTTTGGCTGCATGATATATATATATATATATATATGTAGCACGTGCATGCCTTGTGCTGGGGAGGCCAGAAGAGGGTGTTGGTTCCCTGGAACTGGAGTTACAGATGATTAAGAGCTGTTATGTGGGTGCTGAGAACAGAAAGTTTTTCTCTCCAAAAGCAGCAAGCACTCTTAAGAACTTAGTCATCTCTCATCTCTCTAACGCTTTATAGCATCTCCTCGTTGGTTATTTGGTCTAACCAAGTGAAGTAACCTTAATGCAGCCGGACATCCATTTCCAATGCCACAGTTCCACCCCAGAGGCCTGGCACATCTGGAGCCTGACCTCCCTATCTTTGTCTCCCTAATAGTGAGTTTTTTTAAGAATAATCTTAGGAGTCAGTATGTGAAAAGATAAACCAAGTCATAAGTGTCCCACGTGCCATTTCTTCTTTTTTGAAATGTATATTGTTTTTTCTAAATGTTTTATTATTTTATGTGTGATTATTTTGTCTGCTTGTATGTGTGTATACCACATGGGCCTGGAGCCCACAGAGAGGGCATCAGGTCCTCTGGAACTAGAGTTACAGATGGTTGTGAGCTACCGGGGTCATCCGCAAGAGCAGCCAGTGCTCTTAACCGCTGAGCCAGGTTTCTAGCCCTAGTGTCATTTCTGAGTGATGACCATCCTGTTGGTCAGAAATGTTTCCTGGAGTCTCTAACCTTCACAAAAATTCATAAAAGTTGTTGACAAGTATTTGGAGTATGGTGACAATGCATATCATATTAGAAACACAAAATGTAATGCTTATTATCTCATTGTAAAGTAATAAACCCATAAAAAAATTTAACATCAGGCCAGGTGTTGGTGGCACATACCTTTAATCCCAGCACTTGGGAGGCAGAGGCAGGTGGGTCTCTGATTTGGGGGCAGACTGGCTTATAAAGTGAATTCCAGGATAGCCAGGACTGTTACACAGAGAAGCCCTGTCTCCACCCCGCCCCTCTGAAAAGTTTACACCAGTTTTTTTTTTTTTTTGTGAAAAATATTTCTCAAAATGAAAAGAGCTGCAGAGTAAAATCTTTTTTATTTTTTAGTTCTCTTTTATGTTTTAACAAAAGAGTTGGATTATTGTGTCTGCTTCTGTGTCCAATTTGTGTATGAGGTTACTTGAAGGAAATTCTGCCTTAAGCAGATGTTTGAGAAAAATTGCTACTTGGGGGATACAGTAGTTTAGAGCACTTGTTGCTCTTCCAGAGGACCTGGGTTCGATTCCGAGCAGCCATTCAATTGCTCACAACCATCAACTCTAGTTCCAAGAGATCCATGTCATCTTCTAACCTCTATGGGCACCAGACACGCAGACACGCACATGGGGCATATACAAATTATGGGCAAAACACTCATACACACAAACTTAAATAAATCTACAAAGAATTTTTTTTAAAGTAGTATTTTATCACTTTTCAGCTAAATTAGGAATATTTTTCCTTGGCCTTATAGCAAAACTTAGCAAGTGGAATTTTCTTCAAGAAAAAGAAACTTGGGATCTAAACTACATTAACAAACTTTTCTGAACTTGTGTTTGTATAAGAGAGTACATATAAAAAGAAAGGGCTGATGTGCTTTGAACTCTGAAGTTATGAACCATTGCGCATGTATTTACAGGTGAGGGTAAGTTACAGAATTGACTGCAGAATAGTACCCCAGGTAAATGCTGCCTTAAACCTCCCTGAAGTTTATAGGAAATTGTCCTGGTGAGATGACCTGATGGGGGCTTGCGGGTAGATGAGTTGCTGGAAGAACAAAGATCTCTTGTTTAAATTGCTGTGTTGTTTCTGGCTTATGGTTGGATCTGACTGATAATTATAGATTTTGTTTGTTTTGACTTTCATGTTTCTTAACTTTGTATTCGTTTTTATTCTAGACTTACTCTGGACTCTTCTGTGTAGTCATAAATCCTTACAAGAACCTCCCAATTTACTCTGAGAATATTATTGAAATGTATAGAGGGAAGAAACGTCACGAGATGCCGCCACACATCTATGCCATCTCAGAGTCTGCTTACAGATGCATGCTTCAAGGTAAATGGAAACACTCGAAACTTGTTAGATAATGCTTTCTAATGCCTTAGTCTGACCTACAAAAGGTTTTAATTTTCCTTTTAAAATTAAAAACATGGGCCAGGCATAGTGGTACTGAGGAGGCGGAGGTAGGTGTATCCAGCCTGGTCCTCAAAGCAAGCTCCAGAACAGCCAGGGCTACACAAATCAATCGATAAATGAAATGTTTCTTGTTGGACAGTTACTAGTGTTTAAGATTAAACACTATGAGGCTATTTACCATAGGAAGCTAAAATACAGTTGCTGCTTCATAGCAATACTTCATGTCCTTTTAACATTAAAAAGCATCAAGTTTTTAATATATGTTTGATCTCTACCACAAACTAGTACAAGTACTACTCCATTGTATTAGCCTTTTAAACCAGTAGGGAAGGGCTGGGGAGGGTGTGGTACAGTAGTAGAACATTTGCTTGGCATAGTTCAATCCCCAGGTTCAATCCATCCCCAGTACTGCAGAATTATATGAAATAAAAACCAGCTGAACTTGTAGTGCAGGCCTATGATTCCAGCTGCATAGGAAGAACATAAATTCAAGACTTAACCTGGGTACAGAATGAGTTCAAGGCCAGCCTGGGTAATTTAGTGGGATGGGCTGGGGGTATAACACAGAGGCAGATAGCCTGCTTGCCTAGCATGTATAAGGCCTTGGATTCAATCTGTAATACTGCTAAATAAATACATATAAAACAAATAAGAATAATAGGGAAGATGGATACATTATTAAGTGAGAGAGAATTGTAATTTCAATGCATATAAAGAGAACAGAAGTCTTACTTAAAATGTATTAATTGTTTTTGGAACAGAATGAATTTTAGACATGTGTTGAGTTCTTCATTTGAACCCTGACTTTGCACAATGGTTTGTGGAGGGAATTTTCTTTCTTTCTTTCTTCCTTCCTTCCTTCCTTCCTTCCTTCCTTCCTTCCTTCCTTCCTTTCTTTCTTTCTTTCTTTTTCCTGAAAGTCTGGCCTTACAGAGTCCCTCATGAGACAAGAGGTGGGGGAGTGCTCCCTGTAACCAAGTCTGTGATCCCGTTTCCAGTGCAGTCCTTGCCTCTCTGGTTCTTGGATTACTATAGAAAAGGAAAGTTCCCAGAAGTCTGGGCGAGGGCTCTCCTGCACATGATTCTTCTGAGCACAGTGCATGTACCGGGAAGGATTATAGAATCCATTGTTAATGTATGAAGATCAGTTTAAAAACAATGTGACATATATGCTATGTCATTTTGACTTATCAGCAAAAGGAACACTGAACAATTTTATCAGACAGTTGAGATCTACACCAGTCCACAGTCGCTTGTGTGATGTTGGGTTGTATTGAAGCTGCTGATAAATATATGCAGTTGCCTGGGCTTGTCAGGTTGTGCACCAGAGGGGTGTGTCTTTTCTTATCAACGCTTCTGCTGATTATGTGAGGATGTAGGTCTGCCTATAAAGTTGGTGGGTGACATGAACTCATAGAGATAGTTAAGTGCATCTGAGGAAAGGACACAGTAAATTTTTTGCCAGGTTGAATGGAAAGCTGATTATAATACTATAATAGCTTAAGAGAGTAAATGTTATAGTGAATGGTTTCCTAGTCAGCTTGACAAGAGAAAGATGTGAGCATTTGATAATATTGTCATTACTAATGCTAGAATGGACAGTTCATTATAAATTGCCATGAGCTAGGCATTATAATGTGTAGTATATAAATTTATAACATTTATTCATATTTATCTCTAATATACTGAAGCACAAAAAAATTAAATAACTTGACCAAGAACATGTAGGTTGAATAGCATGAGATAGGGTTAAAAACCAGGTAACCTGGCTTTTTTCTTGTTGTTTTGTTTTGAGATAGAGTCTCTGTAGCCCAGGCTGGATCCAGACTCACAATCTTTCTGCTTCATCCTCCAGAGTGCTAGGATTATGGTTTTGAGCTTCCACACACAGCTCTTATTTAAAACATTCTTATCGACATTAAATGGAATTCATTGACCATATAAACAAGTTTAAATATGATACAGAAAACTGCCCTTGCATTCCTTTCTGTGAGGAAGGGGCTGCCTACTCCTGCTTATGCACTACCAGACACAAGAAGGAGGAACAGATAAGGCTCACACAGTCCTTCCAGTCTAGGCCTTCAGTTACCATGTGATCAGACAGCCGCTTGTCAGAGAGCCTGAGAGGGGACCTTGTGGATAATTTAGAGCATGGGGCTCCTCTCAACTTTGGTGTTAGAGTTAATTCCCCCCTTTAACCTGCCTAGGTCTTTTAAAATTCTGTTTCTTTCATCCATAAAGTATCATGGCATGTGTAACTGTTTTGGGCACATATTCTGCATCTGCAAGTTTACTGATAGTAATGTTGAAAGTTTTGTTGTTGCTGTTGTTGTTTTTAAGAAGCATGGAGCTGGAGAGATGGCTCAGTGGTTAAGAGCACTGGCTGCTCTTCCAGAGACCCAGGTTGAATTCTTAGCACCCACATGGTGGCTGAGAACTGTCTGTAGCTCCAATTCCAGGAGATCTGGCACCCTCTTCTGGCCTCCACAGGCACTGCACACACATGGTGACAGCACATGCAGGCAAAACACCTACACACAAAAATAAATGAATAAATCATAAAAAGAAACAACTTATTTTTCTAAGGTTTGAATGCAGTGTATCTGGCACATACTGGATGCTCAATAAATATTTGTTGAGTGAATAGGCAGAAGAGCTCTTGGGCATGGTGTGTGTGTGTGTGTTGGGTTTTTTGTTTATTTGAGACAGGGTCTCTCTGTAGCTGTGACTGTCCTAGAACTTGCTCTGTAGACCAGGCTGCCCTCTAGCTCACACTTGCCTCTGCCTCCCTAGTTCTGGGGTGTGCACCACCCCTGCCCAAATGGGTGTGAATTTGCAAAAAATAAAATAAAATAATAATTACATGCTCAGTAGAAGCTAGGACAACAATATTGACACAACCAGATAACAAAGCAGTCTGACAGAAGACTAGATGCAAATAAGGAGGAAGGGCTGGAACTGTGAGAATTGGAGACATGGAGTCTTAGGTTCTGGGATAGAAACAGTCATTTGGAAAAACACACCTGAGCTAAAGAGAACACTTACATCTTCCCGGCAGGATACAGAACGCAGGTGACTCATGTAGGCAGACAGGCCAAGGTCAGAGGATCTTCATGGAAAGAAACTGTTAGCACCCAACATCTCATTTGTAGTAATGCCCCTCAGAAACCAGAGGCCTGCAGTCTATCTGCACAGGCTCACCATCCTCCGGCCGCTCCCCCTTCCACTCCAGACAGCTTCCTGCCAGGGCCTCTTGATCTAGCTGCACGGAACAATGGCCTCAGAGGCCTCCTTTTTGGTATCCCGTAACTATTTAAGAGTGTACTGCTTTTTTGAAGTCTCAGAATGAAACCCAAAATATCTTGTTCTACTTTGTTTCTTGTTGTATTTGAATCTGGGTCAGCATTTTCTCCTTTTCCCTCCCTGGCAGTCTAATGGAGCCCGGGGTGTCCTCACGCTCTGTAGCCAGGGATGGCTTTGAACTGCTGATCTTCCTGCTTTCCTTTTTATTTTGTCTCAGGTAACTCCCACTCCCTGCTATGCCAGCTTCCCCAGATATTCTGTTCAATGTCCATTGATTTTCCTTCCAGGATTTGACTCCTGGCTTTCTCCTTGAGTATGTTGTTCGAGCACTCCATGAAGGCTACCCCATTCTGTGTCCCAGAAGATGGGAATTGTGTCCTTAACTGCTCCATATCTCTACTAATTGGAAAAGCTGTACCCTTCCCTATCCTCTCAGAGCTATTGTCTCTATTTCCCTCATTCTTTGATGGTGCTGATCACCCCCCCCCCCCAGCTTTGCTGTGACTGTTAGGAGCTCCACAGTTTTTCATGAGACACCCATGAAGAGGCTTCATTTCACCTGTACCACCAGTGTCTGTGGTGGCATGGCAGACCTTTGCATCTTGTTGAATCACCTGGTTTATTTCACAAATTCTATTGTGAAGGCCGTTCAGATTGTTGGTGTACTCGGGAAGTCTAACTGTGCTTGCTTCCTGTGGATCCCTGTGTAGCTGTCACTCAGAGTGACTTCATGCTCTCATTCCAACAGTCTCCTCATATCCTAGCTCCTCTGTCACACTATTGGTTGTTGTACACATTTGTCAAGATCCGCATGCTGGGTGAGGAGGCTGTTTGTGCCTCCTGGCATTCTTCCCTGGGTGCTCACGCCCCTGGAGTTATGTTCATACAAGCGATTGGATTGATCCTGCTGACTTAATGACTCTACCCTTAGCATAGCTTGCTGGCTCTGCCTGGAAAGAGATGATTGACATTCTTTGTTAATGACTGTTTGGTACCCTGTGCTTCAGACCTCTGGATCCTATGTGTTCCTTGGCTTCCCATATATCAACTTATTTCTCATTCTGAGAAATTAGAAGTCACCAGAGAACTGTCTCAGACCCCCCCAGCTAGATTGGCAAACCATATACTGTTGTGCCTGTTGCTATCCAAGGCCGTTCCTTCGTCTCTCTCCAGGAATCTCAGGGCCGGTTGTCTTGAGTCCCTCTGTCTTCTGCCTTGCTTTTGACAGCTTCTAAGCAGCACTACATGTGCTAGTCATTTCCCCTTACTTAAAAAAATTAAGTAATTATTCATCACGTTTTCTTCTTCTTACTGCCAGATTTTAAAGCATTGTCAGGGGTTAGGCAGGAAGGCCACCACAGTCTGGTAGAAACTTGAAAGCTCTGTCTTCTCAAGGACTGTAAGAACAAGGCTGTGTTTGAGAGTGTGAAGGTGGCCTGGAGAAATAGTGGCCATGGTCATCTGGAGAGACAGGTGGCATTTGCTTACACCATTGCACTGCATCAGATATTTAAACTGATGTCTTTGAGAATACAATTGGATGGGAACCAAGATCATAGAGGGAGATGCCACATGCTTCTCAGAATTCAGCCTTAAGCAAGGGATAAAAGAATATA